CGACCATTTGAAGTGCCTCTCGGTCCAGGTAGGGCCGCAACTGGTGCACCAGGCGAACCTGGGCAAAAGCCCCCCTTAAGTATGACTATTTTGAAACTCGTATCACTTCACTATATCTTCTCTCATTTTATTATATTTTATTGTGGCTGACACTCATGCTTTGATATGGTCAGTTGACTGATCAAAAAAGTATATCATATTAAAGCTCGTCCATAGCTTACATGAAGTATTTGTGCTATCAGACAACCCTTGGCATCACTTGATTTTAAAAAGTGCAGGAACTCATCCTAAATGTCATTGTTGAAAGAAAGTTTAAAAATCTGATTCAGTGAATTTGCCTTTGTGCCATTTCATTTTCTTTTGAAGAAATTTGCAGAATTCTTGAGTCATATCTTACTGCACCTAAATGCATTGCTGTTAGAAATAATATAATTTGACATGAAGCTCTAAGAAAATTTGAAGAATATATTGCTTTTGTAACCAGCCTAGAGCTACTTATTTTTATTTATATAGAAAAATAATATGATCTCATATTTATGATTCCCTCATAGATGAGATGGGTGATGTAGAACTGTAATATAATAAATAAATACATTTTTTAAATGATGGCTGAGATTAATAGAACTAAAGTGTTAAGAATTTGGCAATTAGGCTGAAAAGGGAACTTCTGGTGATTGTAGCAAATTATCTACCACCAAATAAGTCATCTTGGAAATAGTGATATTTCACTAGTCAGTGGGTTTTGTTTTCAGATGACATTCCTGATACACAGTAAGAGCAGCAATGACTTTTTTAATAGAAAAGTATGTATATATGATATTATGTATGTAGTCTCAATTTATACTCTAACCAAAAAAAAAATCATGAATTTTTATGAACAAGTATAGTAATAAGAAACTGTAACAATATTTTTCTTATAAGCACTTACATTTATTTTATTTTCTAAGGACGTTTTCAGGCTGCAGACCGCAAGGATTTGATTAAAACTACTGAACATGTTCAAGTGTTTATGGATGTAAAGGCTTCCTGGACTACTAAGGACGTGGCACTTTCAGTTCATCGTGGTTTTAGGTATGAAATTATTCCCACTATTGACATTAAAATGAACAAGTACATTAAAATGAATAAAATATCCAATGAAGCCGACTCCTGACTTTGGAATCAGATTCTCTTCCTTTCCACTGTCTGTCTGTCTGTCTGTCTCTGTCTCTCTCTCTGTCTGTCTGTCTGTCTCTCTCTCTCTCTGTCTCTCTCTGTCTCTGTCTCTCTCTCTCTCTGTCTCTCCCTCTCTCTGTCTCTCTCTCTCTCTGTCTCTCTCTCTGTCTCTCTGTCTCTCTCTCTGTCTCTCTCTCTGTCTCATTTCACACGTGAAATTTCACACGTGAAATGTTGGTTCACTAAGATGCAATTGTTTACCAAACTCCCTAAAATTTCAACTTCATAATGCAGGTGAGCATCTGCTTAGCAATCAATTACCCTTGCTTTAAAGCTATGTGGAGAAAATATGTTTCCCTGCAGGCCCCTCTCTATCATTATAAGCCAAGCCACGATGCTGCAGACAGTCTTTAGTTTAACTTTATAATTTTGGCTTGGTAATAAAAGCTCTGTTCTAAGGCTTAAAAACACAGAGATGTGTGCAAAGTTTGCAACTCACAGCACTTCGCCACAAAACTTTTTCTATTCACATACAATGTTCCAAACTACTATAGTGGATGTGCTTGCTGAATCTTGGCCTTTAGTGAGCTGGAGCATCTAATAAATTTAAGACTATTTACTTTAAGAAGTTCTGTTTCAGGATATAGTAACAGAATCCCACCATACGAAACACACTTCCACTGCATCTTAATTCTTCCAATTTATCCATCTTGGGATATTTGTCTGAAAGTTTTAATGTGTGATGCTTGCCTAATCACTCTAATATTCTGCCTAGTGAGTTCAGTCAAATTAAATAAATGGTCTTCCACAAAAATTAAAATCCTTCAGAGAATGACAGTAATTGATATAACGATTGGCCTCCCACTTGTAATTATTTCTTATAAATGTTATTTGCCATCCACAACAAATATTTGAATAGAGATTATTAACTAAAATCTTTTGGTTTTCAGCATTCCCCTCTGTGGCTTGAATAACTTGAATACAGGTTAATAACTTGGAACCTGAATTCAAAAGTCCCTATTGCATAGATGAAAACTATTATTGGCTAGGAAAATTCAGAGGCTAGAAGTTGAATTTAATTCACTACATTCTGAATTTAGGGAAATTTGACTCTAATTAACTAGAAACTGAATTTAAGATGGTGTAAGTCTGACATTCTGAACATTTAACTCTGTAAGATTTGTACAAGTTTATCTTTTTAATTAATATGCTTTCTTTTATTAGAGTAATTGGATATTTTACCCACGGCTTTCTCGCTGGCTATGCTGTGTGGAACATCATAGTGATTTATGTTCTGGCAGGAAATCAGCTTTCAACCCTTTCAAACTTGCTACAGCAGTACAAGACTTTGGCATATCCTGCTCAATGTCTCCTTTATTTTCTACTTACAATAAGTACCATTTCAGCTTTTGACAGGTATAAGTATTTGTGCATTCCTCTGTCTTGGTGACAATGCTATGATTCATTGTGAAGTTATCCTATTAATTGAAAAAAATGATTAATAGCTTGAAGTCTTAATATTTTTAATTGTAGCTGTGTAGTATAAGTAAGTAGAAGTAAATCAGATGTTAACATCTTAAAACAGAATGAAAACTACTCTCAAGCCAGAAAGATTTGCATTGTGTTCTGTTAGTTGCTTATACTTCCTACTTTTGAAATTCTTTATTCTTTTATTATAAACTTTTATTATTAATATTTTTGAACTGGAGACATTCTAGTTTAAGCAATGATACCCACGCAGGTTAATTATTCCGATGAAACAATTGGCCTGTTAGATCAAGGTTTTAAAGGATATCTTATTTCCTTAACATCAATGGATAATTTCTTTTGAGATATAGCAGAACCAAGTCATCCATTGAGTGGCTACTTTTAATTAAACCCATTTCATACTCATTGTTCAGAATCGATTTGGCTAAAGCAGCAGTGGCAATACGCAGTTTTCTTACATTGGACCCAGCAGCAATTGCATCTTTCAGTGAGTAAGCAGCATTTACTGACCAATAAGTATTAGCTAATTACTCAAGTTTATGTCTTAGTTATACAGTGGAACCTCTGGTCATGATCGAAAGTAAGTAAGTAAGTAAGTAAGTAAGTAAGTAAGTAATCCATTCCAGGACTTCGGTCAGAACCTGATTTGGTCATGACTGTAAGCAAGACTGACTGTGCATGCGCGCGCACACAAAAAAGGCATGGAAAGAGAAATCGCTGTGGCAGGGAAAATCGCTGCGGCTGTGATTGATTGTCACCCAAGGATATGTCCATGAACAGAGTGAAACATTTGGCGGATTTTTTGGCCAGCACCTGATTTGGTCGTGGTCAGAAGTGTTCATGACCTGAGGTTCCACTATATTTTCATTCCTGATCTTGACTGAGCCGAGGTGACGCAGTGGTTAGGGTGCAGTACTGCAGGCCACTTCAGCTGACTGTTATC